TCTGACATGGGGGTTATTCATCAAAGCTCATGTGCTAAGACCCCAGAACATAATGGGGTTGCTGAGAGGAAAAGTAGGCATATTGTTGAAGTTGCAAGAAGTATCTTATTTGCCTCACATGTTCCTACCGGGTTTTGGGGTGATGCTGTTCTTACTGTTACCTACCTTATAAACCGTATGCCATCCAGGGTTTTGGGGTTTAAGTCTCCCTTCACTCTTYTTCATCCGGACAAGGACCTTTTTCCTGTTCCTATTCGTTTCTTTGGCTACACCTGTTATGTTCATGTTCCAAGTGTCCAAAGGCATAAATTTGAACCCAAAGCTCAAAAGTGTATCTTCCTTGGTTATTCCCCCACACAGAAGGGTTATTGTTGTTTTGATCCAAAGTCTGGCAATCGGTATGTCTCAATGGATGTCACCTTTGATGAGCTTTCCCCCTTTTATGGTTCCTCTCCAGAAGGACATTGTCCATAGGGAGAGGATTTGTCACAGGTGTTTGCTCTTCCTCTTCCTGTCCCTGTTGAGTCTCTTGATGTGTCTGCCTCTCCTTCAAATGTATCAAGGGCGGATCAGTCGTTCCATTCTCCTTGTCCTAGTACTCTACCTCCTCGTCCTATCTTCAATCCCAAGGTGTATCAAAGGCAAAGATCAAAAAATGTGCAGGTTGTTTCTCCTACAACACATGAGTCCCATACACTTCCAGTCACAGAAGAGACAACAGGTACTGTTTCAGCACCTTTGGATTCATCATTCTTTGACCTTGATATTCTCATTGCTGTTAGAAAAGGAAAACGGAAGTACACTGCACATTGCATTTCCAAGCACCTTTCTTACAGTTTGCTTTCACCTYCATACTTTGCCTATCTCTCTTCTGTTGCTTCTCATCCTATTCCYAGGTCTGTGTCAGAAGCTCTTAARATTCCARARTGGAGGGATGCTATGAGATCTGAAATCGATGCCCTACACAAGAATGACACATGGGAAGTGGTGGATTTGCCTGAAGGGAAGGATCCAGTTGGTTGCAAGTGGGTTTTTACTATCAAATACTGAGCTGATGACACTATTGAAAGGTACAAGGCCAGGCTGGTTGCAAAAGGCTATACATAGACATATGGGATTGATTATTTAGAGACCTTTGCACCTGTTGCCAATTAGCTTGCAAGCCTGCAAGCCTGTTTCACCAGTTGCCCATTAGCTTGCAAGCCTGCAAGCCTGTTTCACCAGTTGTCCCCTTCGAACCACAAAGCCCAATGTCCAGCTGTCTTTCTTCAGATTTTGACGCAACCACCTGGGCAAACGATCAGAATTTAGCCGTTGGGGTTTGAACTCCTAAGCCTGATTTGTTGATAAATAGAGGAAGAAATTTCTGTCTTCGTCTTCTCCAGAGTCAGTTTCCTTGCTCGTGATACTTTTCTTTTCATTCTGTCGTTGCCTTTGACTGCGCTGAGCAGGTAGACTTGCCACATCATCGTCGTCTTCCTCAGGACGCCCTTCCTTCCACCACTGAGCTTCAAAGGACGTAGTAATCCATGCTTTGTATTCCACCGCATCTTTGTAAACTTCCAGAAGACGAGGGATTAACTCAGGTTTTGCTCCTAGTCGGACTATGGCTGCTCTCAAATCATCAGCAACGAAGTCTAGCAGTTCTCCACAAAGTTTTGTAATTTTTGTAAAAACTTCCAAGTTCCAGAGATGAAATGGCAACCCTAGGATTTTCAGTTCAATATCCTTTATTGGCTCGACAATCTTTTCTTTAGAACAGGGAGACCACTTCTCTACTATCACCATGCCTTGCTTAGTTATAGCCGACAAGGGTACATCCATCTGCACTTCTTCAGGTAATAATAACACTGTTTCTTCCCATCGAAAGGTTTTATTACTACCTTGCCTGAGACCTTTAGTAACTGTTTCACTTCTTCCCCTAGGCCAGTCCAATTTCCTACAATTCCTTTTGCTGAAATAACCACCCTGCGTTCCCAGTCTTCTTTGGAGGTGTTTACCCACATTTAAAGCTTTCCCACATGTGCAGCTAGACATACATCTTCTACTTCCTCTCCCAGCATTTCATCTTCGCTCCAAATCTCCTCTTTCAACGTGTTTTGTTTCTCTTCTTCATTTGATGTTTTTTTCCTTCCCTTTTCTGCCTTTCAAAGCTGTGTTGGAGAACTCTTGAATTGCTTGAATAACCTTTATCCCAGCCCGAGGCCTTTCTTCCTTCCAGGAAACAGTTACATTGTTTCAAACCTTCACCAAAACACTCATATATTCCAACGTTCCTCCCCTTTTTATTCTCTCTCCTTTCTGCAACATATTTTCTTCCTACTTCAGTACGGTAGTTTTTTTGTGCTTTCGCCTGTGAAGAGTTATTTGCATCTTCTAGCACACCCCTGAACCAAAAACAGTTTTTTCTGGAAGGACGAGGGAAGCTCTTCTTAGTTCAACTATCTTCAGTGCTTGGGCTCCCCTAGTCCACACCTCCTCCATCACAAAGGTTTTTGCTTCGACTTTCGACATTTTCCTCCACCTTCTTGCCGGTGAGAACTCCTCCATCTTTTCTCTTTTGTGAAATAGTTTCTTCACATGCTCAGAAGACAACCATCTTCACCTTCAGACATTCTCTTACCAGCTTTTCTTTTTTCTTGGTTAACCAACCTGTTAGGGCATTTAATAAGTATCCTAGCCTAGTGTTAGAGGTTCAGGTCTAACTGTTCAATCCCAGTGTTAGCATCCTAGCCCGAAAGTCCAGAATATGTCTCTATAACGTATATATAAAACATTAAAACTCACATTTTGTATGGAAATAGATTTATGGATAGGTGAGATTGGGTTGGCTCAGGCTAACCCTTTTTTTTGTGTGTGTGTAAGAGGGCTCCTTACCCAACTTGAGCAGGGATCCTAATTTTGTAGTCCAGCCTGGAGATCAAGCCTATTCTGTGCAGAAGTTCAGGACGGGCTGGAGAGGTTTAGGTTTTGTTGTCAAAACAAGACCAATATCCACCCAGACTTAGCGGTACTTCGAACTTCTTTCGGATTTTTCAGGCTTGTAAAATTGATCTTGCCTAATTGATACATCCACGCCCCCTTAACCATCTCTATTAATAATTCAACTTGATAAGTTTATTTTTGGTCTCTCTCTCTCTCAGGGAAAACTTATTTGCTTATACAGGTTTTGGTGAACTGTTTGCGATACTATCTACGAAGGCCTGAAACTGACGATGATAGTTACTGACACCCGGCAGAGGGAGAACGTGATGACGATATCGTGATTCACCCAATGGTAAGCCACCTTTTGAGGTCTCCAGTGTTGTGTCGAGCCAAAGTTAAATGTTACCCATCCTAGTGTAGCTAATCTTATGTTAGCACTGTCTGTATTCATGATATAAGTTTGGAGTTTGGACATGCAGCACAATAATCTCTCTGTTGTCTATGTTAATCTGTATATAGAAATGAAACGTTGGGCCAATATTTCTTCTAATGGTTGGACTATTGTATTATCAGCATTACTGGTTGGGTAGGACTTTTTTAGCATTAAATTTGTAATGCCTTTATTTCTGAATTTGACCCCTCCTTTTACTGTGAGGGTGGAAAATGCAATTTAAATCAAGGTTCAAACTATCAGAATCACAAGTGTATTGAAGAGGCAATTTTAAGAGATGTGTGAAATAACGCTTTGGATATGTATGAATATAGATGAAAAATCGAGATATACATGTATGAATATGTTTTGAATATACATGGATATAGATGAAAAATCAAGATATACATGTATGAATATGTTAGGAAAATAATTTAATCATACAAAATTATATTAATAACAATAAATATATGTTTTATGTGACTATAAATAAGTTAATTAAACATAAAGAAAACATACTTTAAAGGTATATGATTTCTATTTAAGGTTTACAATTGGGAATCGTGGAAAAAAGATAGAAGAATATATATATAAATATTTGATAGGATTCGATTCATTTTAGTAATGAACAAAACAAATAGGATTGATTATGTATCACAATTTCATTGAAAGAAGGTTTTTTTAATTTATTTATTTTTAGAGCCCCACCCATTCGGATGCCCCTGCTTGAAAACTGATCCACACAGTAGCTATCTATACAATGTCATAATTGATCATATATATAAATATAAAGACACACACGTGTAATTAAGTATATGTGTTGCACGTGAGAAATTTTTCTTCATATTAATTATTTGAATTTTAGATATACCATAGTTAAGTTAGAAATTGAAAATTAACAAAAGCAACAATGTGATTAAAAATAAATTTAAATGCGTGTAGCAAATAACAATTATTATTATTGTTAATTTGTTATTATTATTAAATTTTGTATTCCATTTCTGTCATAAATAAAAATAACTTTTATTTTAACAATTATTTTTATTTAATATGATGAATATATAACACTAGAAATGTTCTCAAATGTTTGTGATAAAATTTTGTACATTTTCATTTTTGGTGTTTTATCTTTTTTCAAATATTTATTATTCAATTATGACATCATGGGTTTCTTTGAAAACAACTTTGCTTTCTAATTAGTTTAAAATTAGTCTAAGGTTGGTCCAGAAACCAACAAAAATTTGATAATCGGCTTTACATTTCAAATTATAAAAACCTTCGCTATGTTATTAGAGGCTTATGTAGCTGTTGCCAACATGGGACTGTTAATCCATGTTGGGCACTACAAAAAGCTTATATCGAAATTGCCCTTTAATGCTAGTTGATTGGAAAATAAAAAAGGGTTTTTAGCTTTTTCCGTTCCCTCCCTCCTCTCTCTCTATCTCCCTCCCACTCTCTCACTCTCACAGTTGTCTCTTTATTCAACGGTTGTGTGATTTGAAAATAAATCAAAATGTTTTGTGGTTTCTATATTTACATTCTCTATATCAATTTCTCTCATTCTCTCCATACCTATCATTCTCCCTCAATTTCTCCCATTCTCTTTCTCGGTCGATTTCTCCTTGTTCCTTAATTTCTATCGTTCTCCCTCAATTTCTCTCCCACTCCCTCTCTCGTTTTTTTTTTTATTTTTATTTTCTTACACACATATATGATATTAATCAGATTGTATAAAAAAACATGAGACGATCATGGTATGGTTCAAAAATCATTACACCAATTTGATAAAAATTTACAAGAAACTCTTGGCTATGAAATTTACACAAACTTGATATAAATTTATAACTTGATTGTACAAGTGGTTGATCTCTTTAGTTCTTTTATACGGTCTAACTAATATTGTATAAGTTTGTAAGAAAAAAAACGAGAGAGGGAGTAGGTGAAAGACTAAGGGAAAATGATAGAAATTGAGGGAGACTGAGATATTGATCGAGAGGGAGAGTGAGGGAGAACAATGAGAGAGAGAGAGAGAGAGTGAGAGGTTTCGATTTTGCCACAGACTGAAGTTAAGAGGGTGAGAGAGACAGAGAGCGGGAGATTGAGAGATGATTGTTAGAGTGAGAGAGAAGGGAGGGAAATCGAGAGACAAATGGGGTGGGAGAGAAACTGAAAACCTATTTTTGATATAGGCTTTTTGCTATGTCCAACATGGATTATGAGTAGAGGTGTAATGTGGGTGGCCCGTGCAAAAGGCGGCTCGTGCAGTGTTGGCCCGCGGGCCGTGCCGCCCTCTTTGGTGGAAATTTTGGGGGTCAGCCTGACACGGCCTGGGCCCGTGCCATACCGTGTTGTGCTGCGGGCTTGGGTTGTGTCGGGCTGTAGGCCGTGTCGGGCTTGGCCACAGGGCGGGGCCTTGGGCCTGGGCGGAACCAGGCTACACTATTTTTTTTTTTGTTTTTTTGAAAATTTTGATTTCTTTTCTAATTAAATAAAATTAAAAAATTTTACAATAATTTAAAAAAAATAAAATTTCTATACAAGTAGTCAACTTCATGAATCATGACTTTCATCATCTGTTTCAGGTGAAATATCCGGTGTAGTATCATGCCCTCCTTTGTCTTGTAATCTATGCTTTGCATCTAGCCAATCCTTGAAGCAGATGCACATCTTTATGCTTTCATCGTTCATGCAACTTCTCTTGTCATACAACACTCTGGTACTTGCACTAAAATAAAACTCCGATGGAACTGTAGACACTGGAGGGGTTAGTAGATCACGTGCCATGGCGACGAGAAATGGATAATTTTTTGAATGTTCACTCCACCAGGCTAAAATATCAAAATAATTTGATCTTTCACCCAAATTAGAAACATTTGCTTGTAAATAAAAATTAAGTTCAGTAAATGAACTTGTTGTAAAAGTAACAGATTTCTGCATTCTACTTATTAAATAAAAAAGTTTTTCTCTTCTACTACTAGGCTCAAGGTCAGAAGTAAAAGATCATGTACAAGTTGTAGGACTCAAATTTATATAAATTGTACATTTCAAATAACAAATTATTAATTTCTTTTTTTTATTTCCTATATCAATAAACATATTTTCACAATATGATTTAAGTAAAATATCTAAACCATTTTTCCTAATCCTAGGGTCTAATATTGTAGCTAAACAATAAATGGGAGAAATGTTCTTCCAATATTTTTTAAATTTATTTTCCATTATTTCAACAATACATTGAAATTGTGGATTATTTTTATATTTTGCAAAACAATAACTAATTACCATTAATCGATAAGGTAAATTACAACTAGCTGGATAATAAATTCCTGATAATTCATTCGTTGTATCATAAAAATATTTTAAAAAGTCTCATATACAGACTGCTATTTCCCAATCTTCCTCAAATATCATATCATTAGGCATATTTGAATTATAAAAATCAATAAGAATTTGTTTATGAGAAATACAACTTTATAGCATAGCATATGTAGAATTCCACCTATGTTTTACATCTAATATAAAATGTTTATATTTTAAACCATAATTTTGACATAAATATTTAAATTCTTGTTTTCTTGCCCCTGAACTTTTAATATATATAAAACAATTTCTAATTTTAGAAATATGAGTAAAAAAATATTCAAGGCATCTTGAATACATAAATTTAAGATGTGACATGCACATCTAATATGAAGTAATTTACCATTTAAGCATGGTCTTAATTGARATTTTAAAATATTTATTGCAGAATCATTATTGTTGGCATTATCAAAACGAATAGAAAATAATTGTAGCAATAGCTGGTTCAATATGTGGCCATTCAAGACTAGTAAAATTTAAAATTCTTTTATTCAGAAGCCAATTTTCATTGATGAAATGGCCAATAACATAAATATAACTTATATTAAATTTGGATGTCCCAACATCCGAAGTAATTGCAACTTTAGAATTAAGATTTGATAACAAAGAAATTAAATATTGTTTATATGAATAAAAAATTTTTAAAGCATCCGACCTAATAGTATTCCTAGAAACCTTTTTATATTTTGGGTTTATAGAATTACGCAACCATTTTTCAAGCTTTGAATTTTCACCTAATATAAATGGTTGTTCTGCATGTACAATATACTTAGCTAATTCTTGCCTCATTTTTTCTTGTGAATATTTGAAAGTGTCAAAACTACTCCCCTTCCCAATTTGTGTTTGAATTGTTTCTCTCCCTTCATCTTCTTCCTTTTCATGTGTGAGTGAATGTTTGGTCAAATGACCTATACCACCCTTGCTACAATAAGTAAAGTCCTTCCTACATTTTTGGCAAATTGCCCTTTTCCCCTTCCCCTCAATATCCTCTACTTTGAAAAATTTTCAAACTGGGCTACTCAACTTAGAGGCCCTCCTTTTTCCCCTAGTATTAGTACCAGGGGTGAAAGTTCCACTTCCATCGATATCAAACGCATCAGTGCTAACACTATCATTATGCGGTTGAATATCATCAAATGTGAACATGTTGGGGAATCAGTTTTCGAAAGAGCTGACCGTTTTTTTAATTCTAAAAAGATAAAAATTAATCTAATTTGACTTACCCGGATTGCCGGTTCAAAATCCCAACTTAATTTCAATGGTTGAAGCGTTTTAACGTCTAAGCCTCCCAAATTGAGATACTTGAGCTGGTTGAGCAAGCCTTTTTCTTGTTGAAAGTTGAAACTTCAATAAAGTTGAGACTTGAGAATTGGAGAATGCAGAATAAGACAATCAGCTAATCAAAATTACTCAGATTGTAGAGAATTGAGAATGTGTGAGTATGAGAGAGAGAGAGAGAGAGAAGAGATTAAGACAATTGTTGAATTGGTGTGATGAGATTGGTGGATGATAGGGCTATTTATAGGAATTGAACATAATTCAATTGTCAAAAATACCAAAAAACTAGTTGTTATTTAGTTGTTGGGAGGGGTATTTTGGTTATTGTAAAGTTATTTATAACTTTACCCAAAATGCCCCCTTAAACTAGTTGTTATATAGTTGTCAGGGGGGGGCATTTATGTTATTTTTTCAACCCCCATAAGCAAAATACACAAATACCCCTCTAATATGGCTGTTTATAGCTGTTGAGGGGTATTTCTGTAAAGTCCCCCCCAAAAAAAGCTAAAACTAGCCGTTGAGGGAGGGGGGGGGGCAACGACTATATTTTGGACGGGCCACACAGCCAGCTACGGGCCCCGCGGGTCGTGCCGTGTTGGCCTACGGACTTCGAATCCCTGGC